TTTGCGGTACGCGGGCCTCTCACTGCTGTGGCCTCTCCCGTTGCGGAACACAGGCTCCAGACGCGCAGGCTCAGCGGCCATGGCTCACAGGCCCAGCCGCTCTGCGGCATGTGGGATCTTCCCGGACCGGGGCACGAACCCGTTTCCCCTGCATCGGCAGGCGGACTCTCAACCACTGTGCCACCAGGGGAAGCCCCTGAATTAACTATTTTTAAACAAGTTTTTGTGTATATATGTGATAAAATACATAAAATAAATAATAATAATAAAATACATAACAAAATTTACCATTTTAACCACCTTAAAGTACACAATTCACTGGCATTAAGTATATTCACAGCATTGTGCAACCATAACTACTGTCCACTTCCAGAACTTTTTCATCATCTCAAACAGAAACTCTGTACCCATTAAATAGTAACACCCCATTGCCCTACCCACCAACACCTGGTAGCCTCTATTCTTTCTGTCTCTATGAATTTACCTATTCTAGTAACTTATATAAATGGAATCTTACAATACTTATCCCTTTGTTTCTGGCTTATTTCACTTAGGGTAATGTCCTCAGGGTTTATCTATGTTGTAGTATGTATCAGAATTTTCTTCCCCTTTTTTGTTGTAAAATATACTAATATATAAAACAAAAATTTTACCATTTTAACAAGTATACAGTTCAGTGACATTAAGTACATTCAGTGTTGTACAACCAGCACCACCATCCATCTCCAGAACTTTTTCATCATCCCTAACTGAAACTCAGCACTAACTCCCCATCTCCCCTCCCTCAACCCCTAGAAACCTATATTCTACTTTCTGTCTCTATGAATTTGACTGAATAAATCATATAGTATTTGTCCTTTTGTGACTGTTTATCTTATTAAGGATAATGTCCTTAAGGTTTATCCATGTTATAGTATGTATCAGAATTTTCTTCCTTTTTAAGGCTGAATAATATTCCATTGTTTGTATATACACATTTTGTTTATCTATTTATCTATCAATGGGCACTTGGATTAGTTCCACCTTTGGGCTGTTGTGAATAATGCTGCTTTGAACATGAGTATACAGCTCTCTGTTCCAGTCCTTCCTTTCACTTTTCTTGGGTATATTAGCAGAAGTGAAATTGCTGGATTATATAATTCTGTTTTAGTTTTTTGAGCAATTGCCTTACTGTTTCGTACAGAGTCTGCACCATTTTGCATTCCTATCAGCAGTGTACAAGGTTCCAGTTTCTCCACGTTCTTGCCAATACTTATTTATTTTAGCCACATCCTATTGGGTGTGAAGTAGTATCTCCTTATGGTTTTCATTTGCATTTTCCTAATGACTAGTGATGTGGAACATCTTTTTATGTGTTTACTGAACATTTGTAGATCTTCTTTGGAGAAATGTCTATTCAAGTCCTATGGTCATTTTTATTTGGATTGTTTGGGTTTTTTCTTATTGAGTTATAGGAGTTATTAGTGTGTGTGGATTTTTTGTACATGTTGTTTTTCGTTGTTTTGTTTTGTTGGTCGGTTGGTTGGTTTGTGGCCACACTGCACAGCTTGTGGGATCTTAGTTCCCCAACCAGGGATTGAACCCAGGCCCTTGGTGGTGAGAGTGTGGAGTCCTAACCACTTGTCCACCAGGGAATTCCCAGGAGTCAGTGTTTAATTGTTCCTGCAGTTAATGGCTTCATCAGCTTCTGCTTCTAATAAGCTGATCTTGGCTGTGATTCTCTGTGTTCACCTGTTTTGGGGGTGGCAGTTTTCTCTGATGGATCTAAGACTAAGACAAGTCGTTGATTTTCAGTTTGTTCAGCTTTTTTTTTGTTGTTGTGAAGATGGAAATGATGACTTCTAATCTTTTATGTGTTGGTGCTATAGCTAATGTCCAGAGTGGTATTTTTAAAGTACAAATCTGATTTTATCCCCTTCCCTATCACCCCCACTTCAGTAGTTCTTCATTTTACAATTGGTAAAATTGATATTTAAGATTATCTTCCAAGAGTTTGCATGTTCTAATCCGTGACTTTTTTTAAAAAATAAATTTATTTATTTTTTATTTTTGGCTGAGTTGGGTCTTCGTTGCTGCACACAGGCTTTCTCTAGTTGTGGCGAGCGGGAGCTACTCTTCGTTGCAATGCGCGAGCTTCTCATTGCGGTGGCTTCTCTTGTTGCGAAGCATGGGCTCTAGGCGCGCAGGCTTCAGTAGCTCTGGCACGAGGGCTCGGTAGTTGTGGCTCACGGGCTCTAGAGCTCAGGCTCAGTAGTTGTGGCACACAGGCTTAGTTGCTCCGCGGCATGTGGGATCTTCCCAGACCAGGGCTTGAACCCATGTCCCCTGCATTGGCAGGTGGATTCTTAACCACTGCGCCACCAGGGAAGCCCCTAATCCATGACTTCTTAGCTCTTCAGAATTCAGCTCACTTTATGCTCTTTTTTCCCCACAGAAACTCTGTTTATCCTCTTCCTTCTACCTGTATTGCTTCTCATAATCCGTCTTCCACCCTTTACCAAGTAAACATACATTCTTTTGAATTTTAGTTCAGACATCCCTTCCTTGGGGAAGCTTTGCCTGACCTCCCTGACAAGGTCAAATTCTCTCACTTTTATTATCTTACAGCACCTTGTTACCACTCCTTTATGTTGTTTCACAGTTACAATGTTAAATTTGAAGTTATTTAATTAATGGCTATTTCTCTGACTAGACTATAAGCTCTGTGAGGGCAAGAACAGTGTCTCTCTTGACTTAGCATTGTATATCCAGAGCTTCGACAGTACTAGCATGTATTAGGTGGCTCATTAAATATTTGTTGAATGAATTAATAAACCTTTTTAGAGGGCAACTTTTCAGTATCTATAAAAAAGTTAAGTAGGGCTTCCCTGGTGGCTCAGTGGTTGAGCATCCGCCTGCCGATGCAGGGGACACGGGTTCATGCCCCGGTCTGGAAAGATCCCACATGCAGTGGAGCGGCTAGGCCCGTGAGCCGTGGCCGCTGAGCCTGTGCGTCCGGAGCCTGTGCTCCGCAACGGGAGAGGCCGCAACAGTGAGAGGCCCGCGTACCGCAAAAAAA